GTTTTATGTCTTATGAGACGGCAGCAGTCGTTTCAAAAATTTCAACAATCTCTAAAAGTAAGTGGTACTCCGAGGTTTAAATGACAACTCAAATTGCTGCTTTATTTGAATATCATTTTTTAGTTATATTATTACTTCTCATCGAAAAAAAATTTTTTTTAATCTGTTTTTTCTTTGAATGATAAAGCAAATTTAAAAGTTGGAAGGGCACTAAGGTCAATAACTTTTGTTTTCACGAAACTAATCCAATAATTTTATTCTTAAACTTCAACTCAAAAATAAAAATCTGTCTTGTTTAGCGCAATATCATAATTTTAATAAATTTCAAAATGATTCCTTCAAAAATTTAATTGTGAAATCATCAATTTTTTGATTTGTAGATTTCAGCTTCCGACCATCAGTCGTGATAGAAAGTTGGTAAGTCAGGTACTCATCAGATTCTACAATTACATTTCTCCGTAACTACTAAATGTAATGTATAAGCAAATGTACAGGTCTTCCCCGCAACTGCTCCCCATATCAGCAAAATCCCTGCAAAGATTGCAGTTAAATTTCAAAAATCTGCAACTGGCTTGCTTATTTTAACCTTTGATATTGACTGCCCAACTTTCTGCCACCGGAATTACGGTAAACAGTTGAAGAGAATTGTCAGATTTTTTTTTTAATTTTATTTTCGTTCTTTTCTGCCGCTACTTTAACAACTTGTTCCAAAAAAAGCCAGTGTCTGAGAATAAACAATTCTAAATGTACATCTCTTTCCCTATCGCTTTCTTCTTTCCTTCTTAAGTATAAAAATGTTTATCTGCTTGATCACAACCTGCCGCAGAGGAACTTACAGGTTCAGAAAGATAGTTGCAGCGGGCGGAGGTCATTAAGAACAACTATGAGGAAAATGGTGTTTTCTGAGAGATATATGAATAAAATAAAAATGGATAGGGGGATTGCGAGGGAAGTAAAATGAGCAAAAGGGAAGGGAAAGGGAAATATAGATTAAAAGCTGATTAGACCAGTCATCTGGAAAGTTTTATCGTTTAATTCGCGTCGAGATTACTGGCGCCTTGCCCGCTATGGAACTTTGATAAAATTTTGGATTATTTGCTGTGAAATTTGGTTAGGCCGTTCTATATTTGCGAAATTGACAAGTCATATGGAATTACCACAGTTACAGATATGATTCTTGTGGCGAATTGCTTTCCAGAAGTAATTAGTATTGAAGTGCAGATAAAATAGAGTCTATTTTTTATCTCAGCTCGTCTTTTTCTGGGAGAGTGTAGTTTTGTCCTGCCGTAAGAAACTCCGACATAAACTAATTGCAAATTAGTCATTATTGCGTCCACGGCTCTTCAAGTTGTAAGATTTTTTCTTTCGTCAGTTTCTTTCATCCCTTTTACTCTTTGACTGTTGACGGAGTGCGACGACGTGTTGCAAGTGTCACTTGAAGTTTCTTTCCTGGTCATAGAAGCGTGACTGCCTA